ACAAGCGCTCCAATACCCAAGACGGCGAATAGCACATTCCCAGCTATTTGCCAGTCTATTTTCGTGGATATCTCCTCTACTTCTTCGGACAAATCCTCTGCCTCGCTGGATAGGCTTTCCAAATCGCTGGTTGGCAGCTGTTTCTCCAGATCGCCTATGCGCTCCAGCAATTCTTCTTTCGTTTTCTGTAGGTTGTCGAGGACAATAGCAAAAGAATCCTGCACTTCCAGAAAATGTTTCTGCAGATCCGTGGTTGGTGGCTTCTCGGGTATTGCCACCTGCACACCATTTTCTTTTTCTATCCTGCGTATTTTGGGTATTCCTATACCGTATTTCCTAGCTACCTTCTGCAGCCCCATACCATTCTTTCGGTCTTCCAAAAGATCTGCAATCTCCTCTTCGGATAGTATCTTGGGTGTGGCCATATATATCTACAACCACATGTTTTTTGTGTCTAGACACCTATGGATCCATAGGGTATTCCATGGACAAACACTATGGATTCATATGGTAGATACCTGTTTGTCCACAGATATAGCATGTATTTGTACATAGCTACGGGTATAGCTGCATACATGCTGGGAAARCAGCGGACAATACAAATACTTTTGGAAATCTTGGAAGGTCTCTACCGAGCGCAAAAGACAATACAAGGAATTCGCCTACCGGGCTACGTGGCGACTTTGGCACAACTACCACGGCGTCGATAGGGGAACGGATCGTTCCTCTCCCATCTTTTGGGACAGCAATGCACATCTTTTGGGACACAGAAAAAGGCACTGACAATCCATACACTCTTCTAAACAATTTAACAACCTTATACTCAACATTCTGAGACCCTTTTAGAATGGGGTTTACGGTACCCAACACAGCAGCAGTAAGGACACACCGCGGGAAATCCCGTAAATCTGCTGTACCCGCGTTCGGAATTCCGCGGGTTAAACCCGCAAATATACGGCATCGATCGCGAGTCCCCCTTACTGCTGCTTAAAGCATATGGCAGAGAAGAACTAGGGACGCTTCGTCTTTTTTTGTCAGCATTTAGTGTTCTCCAGGCTTGTTGTGTAAGGTGTTATATGATTAGCTTTATTCGGGTCTATACACCACGTCTTGTGATATAATAGTCTTCACATAGACTCCAAGAGAAGCGGACCGAATATCCCCGATCGAGAAAAGTGGGATTTTTTTGTATTTCACATCCAAGATCATTTTGATAGGGATCTATTCAGTATTTACCCTGTGTCGACACTTCACACTCGGTAGCTTTCGTCAAGACGAGAGGCACTGGGCATGAGTTTCAAAATTCCAAGAAAAGTCCAAGTTTTCCGGTTTCGTTTTAATTACTAGTGACGCTAGACGTAATGTTCTAGAAGGCTTTAACTGATAAATTTTTAAAATGTCTCTATACTCGGATGGCTTCCCCTAATGCTCTTGTTTTACATTGCACTGTATCATTGGTATCGAGATAGACACCATTAGAAAGCGTTGGTAAAGTTGATGAACTCTTGTAATATTATTTGAGAGAAGAATAGGTTAAGGTCACGTGACCCGAATGGAAGAGACTGCTGAAATTCTCTAGAGTGCTACAGCATTTATGCAGGTGGGCAGTCTGATTGGTTGCAAGGCTAACTATAATTAAATCCTATTCCAAGAAATTTTATTTTCGTTTGAATCCTCTACTTCACCACGAGCAAAGGCGAGAACCTTTCGATACATTGACCTACCAATTCAAGTTTAAAGTTCAATAATTTAAGGTTCTGAAAATGTTTTCAGTCAAAAGAAAATACTACACCCAAGTAGCAGTGCTAGGAGCAGGCGCTTTTGGCAAAGTGTACAAGATTCAACAGTTTGACTGAGGCACTCTAAGTCTCCCCCAATTAAGGAAACATTTTGCTATTAGGACACTTTCACCACAGAACATCATCATTGGTAGATAAAAGCGTATTTCCTATTAGCGGAAACGTCAGAAGACCATTCTGCCACGCAGATACACTAGGGAAATAGAGGGACTGCTCGCAGTTTGGTCGGGTGGTGGGGTCGGAAATTTGAAACCAAATCGCATTTATTTGAAATCATTTGAGCCAAATAAACTCCATTCGAGTTTAATTTTCTCGTAGACCGTTTAAACAAAATCCCTCAAAACCGAGGCACATCACAGCTGGATGGAACGTTCTTTGCTCTGTATGATTTTCATGCAAAAAGAAGAGACAGAAGGTTCAAAATTTCGGGTGCAAATACGAGGTGGTGATCGATCCGGAGATCTAAGCTGCCTGTCTTATCTAATTTTTCCGATAGGTGAGCGATTAACCATCTAACTTTTGAAGCCCCAAACGAGCGTTTTTGAGGCTTTTTCGCAGAAGAAACACTTCAAAACACATAATAAACTCATTAATCTTTTTTTCCAGACAATAGTTTTTGAATACCGACTACTTACAAAGGACACTTTAGAAGCAGAATTTGAACTCTATCGATAAACAGCTATCTCTTTGCCGCAAGGTTCCCGAACCAGAGAAATCCGAAACCACTAATACTTAGAGTGGTAAGCCTGTGCATATCCCAAGAGCAAATTAAAGTTTTCATTTTTCAATTATCACACGTGGTAGGTGGGACTAAAATAAATCCAATGAAATCAAACTTTGAGTTGAAAAACTTGTCTTCCTTACACTGACCCCTGACTCGACAAGAACCCCTCAGCAGTACTTTACTTTTAGGTCTCAAATCAACGTTTCGGTTAAAAATGAGTTCA